ACCCCCGGGACGACGCTGTGACACGACACCGCGTTGCGGCTTGCGGCGAGGAAGCCCGCGTCGAGGCCGCTGTCCAGCAGGGTGACGTGCACCCCACGGCCGGTGTAGGCCCGGGCCGCGTTGGGTTCGGGCCCGACGGGGGGTCCGGTCACGGCCTCGTCCAAGGAAGACGGCCGCGGGATCGCGTAGTACTCCCGTGGGAGGTGGCAGCTCGGGGCGGCTGGCGGGGGGGCGACCCCGCCCACGCTCACCATGCCCAGCAGGACCAGCCCACAGGCATAGAGGAAGAGAAGCGACCAGGTGAAACCGCGCCAACGTCGCGGCGGGGGCCCCATTTTCTTTTTTTTTCTCTCGGATTGACACAGGGGTGGGTTTTAAACTTTGGGGTAATCTTCGCTTGTGTGGATGCTTGGGGGGTTCGTCATTGAGGTTGGTTGGGTTCGGTTCGTTGAGCTGCGTAGAAGATGCAGCGTGAGGGACAGTAGATTTTGGCCCCCCAAATCAACGATTTCGTTTTTTGAAGATTGGAATTCTATATCGATATAAAAAGAGCAAGAACAGTAAGAAAAACATAAAGATTGTGGATTTCTTCAACATATTCGAGTGCCTTTGACTAAAGGTCTCTGCTCGATCTCTAAAGACGAGAAAAACATGCCAATCAGAAAAGACTACTATAGCAACGAAATAGGCACGCCCATGAAGATGCACAGGCTCCAGCTTTCGATGAATTTAATTATACCTACTTGAATACTTCATAGAAAATTTATTAAAAGCCTTCAGATCGCGTAAAGTACTGAAAATCAAAAAAGAGAAACAGCTCCTGAGCTGAAAAAATATGTTCAGCCACAAGCATAACATTCTTGTCACAGATATTGGGAGAACTCCTTGACGCCAAATTCATGAGGAAAATCACGTGCGCGTAACACAAAGAACGAGTACCTGGTGATTCTATTAGGGAGGGTCACTTGGATGCCATTATCATACTACAGTGGAAATTTTCCTTTATGAATCTAAGATCTAAAACCTTAGTCTAATGCGCGTGATTTTTTTTGAATACAATGGGGCTTGTTGATTTTTCTTGGTTAAATTGCTTTATGGGATCACTTCAGAGGACAACGGATACAGGTTGAAGTGTATCCTGAACTATTCCTCAAGCGGTGATGCTTCCTTTCCGAACCTCAAGAAAGCTAGAAAGACAATACAGGAAAGAATCCCCTCAAGGGCGAACGAAAATAATTAGCCTCTTTTATAACCTTTCACGAGATAATAAGATTGAAGATAAACCCTTTGGTAACAGCAGTTGTTCATATAGATATGTTGGAATGAAGGGACATTGTTTCCTTGGTAAATATTTTATGTACATCCATCAGCACTACCTAATACGGCACAAATTAGCCTGTACCCTGTGCAAAGACTAATAAAGGGCAAAATATTCTGGATTTGTTGAATTAAAATCGTAAATCCCCTCCTCCACTCTCTCAAGACCATATTCACTTTTTAAAGTATTTCCACTAGCCGTGTTGCTTTTCTTTTTTACAAGTTATTGATCCTCAGAGGGAATCATGGGAGGCGTTTCTGTGTTCGTTTCAAGTAGCCTCTCTGCCAACCAACGAATCGGCTCGGCAGGTTTCGTTTTCACGAGATCAGAAAGCGCCGGCAGCAAAGAACGCTTTAACTGCTCGTGAACAAACTCTCGCGATTGAACTCCGGTGGGAACCTCCTCTGAGAGCATCCGAGGAAAGAGCAAACGCACTGCCTGCTTCGCGCCTGCGCTCGTCGTGTTCATCCATAACGCTTGTGGAAGCGCACCACTCTCCTCACCCTCCTCTTGTGACGATCGCGCAGTTAGCTTAAGCAGCTCCGCATACGCCTCGTACGAAGAACCTTTCTGTTCGCCTTCAACGTCGTCATCGGCGCACGCCATGGAGCTCGCTGAGCCTGTATCGAGCTCAGAAATAAAACGCAGCAGCTTCGCGTGGCAATCGCGATGTGCAAGAACGTAGACGTATGCCATTCCCACCATCTTCGACGGAGAAAAGGAACAAGATGTCGGCGTCGCTGCTTTTGCATCGGTATAGTCGTTTGCGGCCTCATAAGGCTGCCCAGAGGCAATTTTCACGTATTCGGGAATGTAATCCAGCTTTACACACAAACACTCCGCGAGCTCGGCGTTAAGAAGGCGGTACTCCTCGCGCACGATTACGAATCCCGCTTCATAGAGCCTGCACTTGATAAAATACAAAAGCTCTTTGGATTGCGCGAAGGCCGGCACGACAAACAACGGCACCTTTGTAACAACTCCTGAGAGAGGTCCTAAGTTCATTTGAAATATCTATTTTAAAGGAATAATAAATAATGACTGGAAGTTGTCTGGATAAAAATAGGAAAAAAGTAAGCGAAATAAAACCGATCAACTCTAGCCCTTTTTTCCGATATGACACTAAGAAACAGCAAGCTAAAATAAAAGCAAGTGCATAAATGTTAGGAAGATAATTCAAAACAACATAGGTGTAACAGATACACAGCCATAAATAAAGGAAAAAAGCGCTACGTAATAATAATATTAAAGAGGAAAACTACTTAACGATGTAGTTCAATTGCATTTTCATATTTTTTTAAAAACTAAGCATACACTTGCAAACACGCTTGCTCGAAGGGATAATATACACAGTGATTTATCCTCTTAATACACACAGCTGCATTTCACATATTCATCCATTTTTTACAGTTTCTCTTTCGTAATCAATTATCAACATTTTGTTGTTGTTAAAGAAAAAACGTAGATAAAGCGAATATGCAGCATTTTGAGCAACCCAATCCAGTAATAAGAGTAAAACCAATTACTTCTTCTTCTAAAGAGTCGCAAATAACAAACACAAAAATATGGAAATATTTGTATGACAAGAAAATACAGGGAAAAAAAAGGCTTGGTAAAAATCTACACTCCGATTTTTGTTTTGAAAAACAAAACCCCAAGCTTGGGATTGTGTTAGTATGTTTGGAATATTTCTCCTCCCCCCCCCCCCCCTCCCCCCCTCCCTCCCTCACCACGTACACAAAAAGAATTCCTTTTTCAGAAATTCACAAAGGAAATATACATATACCTTTGTATAGAATATCTGTATATATATATAATTTCCCTCATCGCTTTTTTTGTGTCGTGAATACAACCAAACAACCCTCCCTTCATTTTAAAATAACACTAATAGTACATAGACATTAGTAAAAATGGAAAATGTCCGAAGGAGTTAATACATAGCGCTTTAAAGCCTTCTGGAGATGAATTAATATATATACATAGGTATATGTGTATAGAACGTGCTCGAGAAGGGACTGATGCTGCAAATTTGTGCCTTTTTACGTGCTTTATATACACGAAAATTCGCTATGACCGAGCTCATGGCATCAACCCTTCCCTCCTTGAGGTAGTTAATTCTCCTTGATAAAGGTATTTGGACAGTATTAGGAACAGTGGAAACACTTGTATTGGCACAATTCCTTTTTCCGTTCGGATTCGAAGAGGGGGCGTGGAATTTGTCGAGGGCTGCTCACGAGCTCCTTCGCGCCTCCCCGCCTAGCGAAACGCATCCCGCGGCGACCTCGAAAGGGCGGAGATGACCGGGGACCGCCGGCTCAGCAACGCGTTCGCCGTCGGGAGGAGGGTACTCGCCATGGTGAAACATCCCCCTGGGCGGACCCCCCGTGTCCCCGCGCCGTCCAGAGGGGGCCCCGTGTTCCCCGTTCGTCCCCTTAACTCCCGTGACCCCATTTCCGTCAGCGCCCTTGGCCCACCCTCGCTTCGCTTCGGGGACCCCATGTCCCGTAACTCGTGGGCCCCATTGGCCTGCCGTTCCCGTAGCCCGCGGGGTTCCCGGGTCCCGCCCCCCCGCTCCCGTTCCTGCCGTCGCGCGGGAAAGGGGCTAAGGGGGATCTCCCGCAGGGAGGTCCCACAAGGGGGGGTGCGCGCCGCGGGCCCCCGTTCCCCGGCCCCAAAGGCGCCTTCCAACCACCCCGCCAGGCTCGACGGCGGGGGCGGCAGGGCGCGACTCGTTTGGAGGTACCGCCACCGCACAAACGGGGTCGCCCGTGCGGACGGCGGGGTCGGCGCGAGGCTGGGCGATCGTGAGGGCCCCCCCCCCCCT